GAGTGGCGGTGGAGCGAAATTGGGCAACAATTCGACCTGGGTAAATTTCATCACGACCTCACTTTTCTCGACCGAACCATGATGAATCATGTCTAGTATAGGCAATTATCCCAATATTAGCCCATTGTTCACCTTATTTCAGGTTAGTGAATTGGGCTAATATTGGTGATAATTGCCTAATATATTGCTACCCCATTGTTCACCTTATGTCAATATATACCAATATTATCCCAATATTAGCCCATTGTTAATCTAATTTACCCAGATCTATGAAGATGAATTGAGATGTAGATGGCTAGAAAAACCACCGGCCGGATGGCTAGAAACAAATGAGCTGGATGGATTTTGATGGAAACCAAAACCAGGACAAGATGACAATTTTCCGTGAACTATCAAAGATTGACCATGGGATTGAATAGCATACAATAGAAATAATTTCTATAGATCATCATAATGGGACATACAATAGATGGTCAATCATACCATGATATTATCTATAGCAGAAATATTATCGATAGTAATATTGAATAGCATCAATATCATGATTTGATGAATTCTCCAAACTATACCCACACTTCGAGATGTGGCTTTGTCTGGAAATGTTGGGAAGACCCCAAATTTTGATTGGGGTATACCGGTATACCCCATTTTTTTTTGACATACGTTTTTTTGGTACAGGACTCTATCGGGACACTTAAAAAAACACTGTCCCTGACATCTCGAACAAATCACATTGCCGGAAATCAAGTTACTCGTAACTTGGTGGCTCTGCCCACTTACCAAGTAGGCTACATTCATTGTTTTTTTTGGTGCGATACAAGCGGGTTCATCATAGTTTAATCCATTATATTATATTGGCGTGAATGTTCCTACTTACAACCGCCAAAAAATGGCACCCTCAACAGCCAGCTTCAATAGTAAAGGCCTGCTGGATTTCAAGCGTCCAATGATGTTGATTGTGATTAACACAGCTCCAATTCTCATCACAGGCTGTAGAGTCTAGAGTATCATAGAGATTCATAGAGTTTCATGCAAGTCATCCTTCCACAATGCAGTTCTGCTTCCAGCAATCTGTATTTAGCTACATTGCGCTAAGATTTCGTATTGTTGTCTGGTTGCAAATCCCAAGAAATCCCATGAAAAAAGATGAAGAAATCCTGACAAAGGCAGAGGTTGCTGGCAGATTGACGGCATGGGACTCAGTTCTGAAACAACGCGCAAGCTGCGACGCATAAGAGTCTGAAGACACTCAGCTGGTATGTGTTGCTGGCAAGCCATGTTTTTTGCCAAAAAATGGTGGTGAAGAATGACAGTTTTTAGTGAATCAAGACCCAGCAGTTTTCATTCCGGGACATTCTGACTTGACCTGAACTTTTTTCAAGGTCAAATAGTAAGGGCGACATTGACCAGTGCTGTGATGAATCCATTTCACCGCGGACAATGCGATGTGTTTTGACATAGGGAAAGATTTTTAGCACCAAAATACAAGTCACCAGCTTCTTTGGAACACCAATATTTCCGATGTTGTGTTTCATTTTGAGGCATGCATTTGCTGATTGCACGTACATTCGCCTGTCGCTTGATCTTGTTCAATGTTGTCAAGTGGTCCTTCCATTAATCTACCTTTTATGTTCCTCTTTTCAAGAAGAACATAGTAAGATCATATAAAATCACTCTCCATGCGGCATACTTGTCAAAGACCCTGGAAGCCAAGACCCTTTCTATGCATGCATTTCCAGGTACTGATCTAGAAGCTTCATTGGAGACGACCCAAGCTGGGGGGAGCCCCTTTTTTCGATGTCGTACTCCAGCAACCAAGATCATCCCCCAGATTGTACCTAGTATAGTACCTAGTAGTCCCATGTCATGACTGTCAGCAAAAAAACAAGGTCTCTCGCTCGAAAGGCATCTTCCCGATGTATGACGTGTCTCGGCGGAAAACCGGAGATGTGGCGTTGTGGCGCAGAAACCGTTGATGGAGAATTGAATCTGTGTGATTTTGGTGGGATGTATGGGAGTTTTCTGTGATTTTTCTCTGTAAGGAATAGATGTGATTTGGATTTAATGGTTTTTTATGGAAAATATGATCTCTTTAGGGTTTTGCAAAATATCGTCCAAATCGTGGAGTCCCAAGACTGGTGCAGTGGCCATAAATGGCCCAATATGCGGGGGGTCATGACAGCGAGACTGTTACAGTCCGACAATTCAATGTGAGGGCCATGTATGCGATATTTGCACTACGGTTTCAGGCTACACATGATGGAAAGCGTCTTCCACTATGTCCTTGGAAAGAATTTGACGCCGCCGTTCTCTAAAGTCAGCAATAGGCGCAGAGCATAGTTCTTAAGGATTCTTTGGGCAAGTCGGAAGGTGCTATCGCAAGCAGTGACATTGACAAATATTCGTTGCAGATGATATCTAGAATTTCCCTTGGAGTGCAGAACGGATTTTAGCATTCGCCATTTCTAGATGTTGGGCAGCCTGCCCAGCCTCGTCATTCCATCGCAACTCAGGGTGTGATCAGCGCACCGAAATGCAGCTGCAGTTGCTGTGTGGTTGAAAGAAGAAGGTCCGGAAGCCCGCGCTTGTGTGTTTACCCAGCAATTGATGAACAAAAACACCAACCTGCCAAGATGTTGATGCTATTTGAATCTTTTTGTATATGTCTGTCGTCATTTACGGTGATGACAATTTGCGAGACTTCTGGCAGCAAGTGCGCCATGTAAAACGTAGAAATGATCAGAAACTATCACTCAGTGGGCATCCATACATATATATATAATTAATCATATATACATACATATATATATATATCATATAATCATATAGCATTATATATACAATATCAATATACTGGATCATCTCTTTATTGTTCTTAAATATAGACAGCGATCTAGGATATGGCCCCACTTTGACCAGGCCAGATGAAGCTGGTGGACAAGACTTGGCGAAGTTCGTGACCCTAGTGCAACTGTGGTTGTGAAATCCTGCACCAGTAGATGAGCAGAATCTCGTGATAATCCCGTCATGAACAGTATTGCAGTAAGGTAAGTAAGGTAAATACCATCTGGTGCAGGATTTCGCAACCACAGAATGGATGTGGGCATTCACAGAGGCGTAGCTCAAGAGGCCTCGGAATATGTTGTGGCGTGAAGATTTTTTCGAGTGCGTGAGAGGATGATATATATTTTGGATGAACACGGTGCTGCACAACTTGTCAGTAAAATACTCTACTTGTCAACTTGTCAATTTCCGAAAGTACATGTTGCCGATCTCAAAAAGAGAAAGTAATGGTGCACTTCTTTCAGAGAGATGCATGTTTCTATTGGAAGAAAAATGCACGATATGAGGCAACACGTATTCTTGAAGGAATACCACGGGACCATTGAACCATATGAGTCTGAAAATGACGGGAAATCCGATGGAATCCCATGGAACAAATCATAATTTTCCCACCCTCCAGTAATCAAACATGGCAATCGAAAATACATTATTTATATATAGGCGATTTTCCTATTGAAACCTCCATTTCTAGTGGATCTCGAATTGCCACGTTTGATTACCGGAGGGTATACCCTATTTGTCAAAGACCCCCAGAAATCAGCCGAAAATCAACTCCCAGCATCTTGGCATCGAAAGTGGCCAACACCTTGGGAAAAACCATGGGAAGCACACAGAGATCCCAAGGCAAGATGCAAAAACCCCTGGTTTTTAGGCAATTTGGAGGTTTCCTAAGTCATTATCGCTGGATGGTTAATGGACAATCCTAGACTGATGAATAGGGGTACCCATATGACTTAGGAAACCTCCATTTTGATCAATTTTGCGCATTTTTTCCATGGTTTTCGGCAGTTTTGGGCCAAGTGTATCTGCTTTTTATTTGGTAGTTCTGGGGCGTCACAATTTGGTTTTGTGATCATCAGCGTCTCAGTGAGAAGCCATTTACAGAGGTCAAACATTGTTACATGTTCGCTTTAAAAAAAAGGTGAAACGCTCAGGGTTGGCCCAGTCCGGTCCGGGTCGGGTGCGCGTGAGCGGGTCGGGTCCGGGCCGGGTTCTGGACCGGGTTCTGTCGGCAGTCCTTTAGAAGAGCTGTCGTGCATGTTTTGTGTCTCCTTGATGCATCTATGGAGTCTTATGTGGACGCCACTAGACACAGTCTTTTTGGGTAGGTTAGGGCCTTCTCTCGAGCCGATTATCTTGCAGCGTCTCGAAGGCAAGGCATGGCGAAAGGGGTACGTTCGAGAAGTACCCTCAATACTTGGAAGACTATCGAATTTTCTTAAAACCATTGATTTTGAAGTTTTTGACCGTCACAAGCTGGAAAACCATTGCTTTGAGAAACGCTTTGAGAAACAGGCCCCAGGATCGATTCCCCCTGAGTCCGCTCTCATGGCGTGTTTGGCCCATTATTCTTTGTCATGGCTTTCCTTCACGATCGTTTCCCACTCAATCTCAACGATGCATGAACCAATTGAATCTCCGTACGTGTCTCAAAACGGGTGTTTTCTTCATTCTCGGGGGCGCAAAGCTGAAAAATCATAGTTTTGACAAACTTGGGGGATGATGCGAATACATGGAGCTGAGAGTAACGAAGCAATGCCGGGAAGGGTAACAGGGACATGAACCCGGGAGGAATCGATCTCACAACCGTTTCTCAAAACCACTCTTTTCTTGTTTTCTGCTGCTGCGAACCTCAAAATGAGCTGTTTTGAGAAACTTGTGTCGATTAAATGGGTTTGGTTTCATCACACTTGACTTAAATAATATAAGCCCCGATGCCTGCACGTGTCGCAGATTGGTCTTCCAGCTGATGAGTAAAGGTCCCCTTGTGCCTGCTTCTACTTTTAAGCCTATATGCGCAACAGTTTTCCTGTTCCTGCTTGCGAAGCACCATGTGCTTAATAGAGCTAAGAAAGTCTATTGCTTTGTGTTTTCGCGTCAGTCCGGGTCGGATCGGTCTCGGTCTCGTTCTCGTTCTCATTCTGCGGCGTGCCCGGCTTACCCTGCTGTTTCATCCACCAATCAAGTACCATGTCCCCACATTTGTAATGGTCATTTTCATTACAACATGTTCCCAGACAAGTCGTTAGTGATGCTGACACTGGGTCCAGCCACGTGGACCTAAGGTGTGCAGCACCACCCCCGCAGAGCAGTCGATGCTCAAGCGAATGTGCTGTTCACTGCGCTGCAAGATGAAGGGGTTTTGTCTGAGAATAGGGTAGCCGCATGGTAGGCCTGAATCGCTGAATATGGCTGAATTGTATGTGATTCTCATGTGCATGCAATTAAAAGTTGAGAAACATACGCGTAAAGACACCCAGCAATAGCGCATATATGCGCATATGAACTGTAGGGTTGGTTGTCCCTCCATAGTTAACTTTACATGATCATTTTATGGGTATACTGTGATGCCCCGTTCAGACCCAGATGAAGGGAGGGCTGGATGGTTTTGTCCTGGATTTGCTCGATCAAAGGCTTACGGCTTTCCAATGAGTATTTTCCACAGCATTGGGGAATCTATGGGGAAATATAGTATAGAGATGTATAGGGATGTATAGGGATTGGGGTTCCTCAAGCAAATCCATGTTTTGTTGGATGAAACAGAAGTCTTGATTTGCAGATCTTGACATAGGTGATGCACAAACGCGATCCAGGGAAAAGAGCCTCTTGTGAGTTTATGCCAGTTCAAATTTGTTGACATTGATTTGACATACACTGAATTGAGTTGCAAATCATGCACAAACATGGCTATATACATGAGGCTGCATGTGTTCAAATGAATTTCGCATACGCGTAATCCATGTCATGTGATATCAAAAAGATCCCCATCAACAACCCATTGAAACGTCTCATCATCAATTAGGAGTCAAAAAACGATGATCTCCAAATTCCAATTGTTCAGGTCGGCCATGTAGAACTCCAAGACAGAACAATGTTTCAAAAATCCAAAGACATCAGCAAGTCGCAGAGAGGAAAGCTCTGCATTTCAGATGGCACACATGTTCACAGTGGGGCTCATGGCAGTCATTAGTGCTGCGGATAAATCCAAGATTCGTATTTCTCAGCATGCATTTTTTTTCAAATAATGTATTCCTATTCTCGTGAAATGCTGACACTTATTTGGATTTTCCAAGTTTTCCCCGAACTGAGACAGCGCAGATGGTTGCACAATGGATCCCGGGAGATGGGCATTGCGCCGCCACGGGGATGGCAATGATTTTTTTGTTGCCAAGCAATTCGTGGTTTTAGTATTGACCAATTCGATCCTACCTAAGATATCTAAGATTCATAAATCTATTGATTGGAAGTGAGACGGTCTCTATGAAAGCACCACTTCTGGTTGGTTAAATCGTGAGTCCCACCAAGCGCAGCAAGGCTGTGAACGACGAAGTCTTTTCCCAGGTCAAGGTGGTGGATATGGACCGATATTGTGCCACGGCCATGGATCGGGAACAAAGATGACCAACTAACTGAGCTGTTTTGTTTGCTCGTTTAGCAAAGATATTTAATAAGATATTTTAAGATCAGTTTTTGGTGTCTCTGTTTGTAATCATTGTTCTATGTGTGTATTTCCTGTATGTGAACCTATGTAAATGATTGCAAATGTGTACATATGCAGACCTTTATCTATATTATATATACCAAACATATGTAATTATGATTATACATGCATTATATATATATATGTTCTGTCTGCAACTACTGGTACGTAAATGTATTGTGTTTATATGACATTTGCATATTCTATGTCATTATTTGCATGTACACATAATATGTATACAAAGTCATATGTCCCAACACAAGTCGTATCCAACTCATGCACCTCGTAGGTGACCCGTTGAATCCTTCGGGAAAATCGGCCAATATTTTTCTTTGATTTTTGTGGGGTGGGGGGTGGGCTGGGCTAAGTGGCTATCAACGTTCATGTTCACATGCACACTATCTTGATGCTACGTTAACAAGACCTTCTCTTGCACTTGTTAGCTATCTTGATGCTGCGTCAACAAGATCTTTTCTTGCACTTGCCACGAGGCCCAAAGCCAGCCCTGTGGGTGCACAGGTGGAATCGATTGCGCAAATTGCACATGGAAGAAAATCAAAGATAAGATTCCACTGCGGAATATAACTATAGTTAATGGGGTTTATAATGATTTATAAACCAACTTATATCTGGGGGGCACCATCCTGTACTAGAAAGAAAGGTAAGATCAACCAAGATTTGATGGCCTATGTGCAGCAGTGGCGCCCAAGGCACAGCAGAGACTGTGTGCTGAGAGCGACTGCCAGGGCAAAAGCAAGTGAACATGTGAGGGTAAAAAAATGAAGTTGACCGACAGAGGCTTCCAAAACTGTGGTAAAACGCGATTCTTCAACAAAAACATGTGATAATTTTGCACACTTTTTCAGCCTTTATTTCAAATCAATTTTCGCTGACAGGCCCAAGGGATTGTGGCTTTCAAGGGTGGAAATACCGTCGTGTAAACCCCACGCGCAGATTTTTATGGTCGACAAAAAAACTATGACTATGAGCGGTCACAGCCTGGTGTCCTCGAACACGGCTTCCTCGAAAATCCCCCAGCAATAGTTCGAGGGAATTCTTCAGCGAACTAAACCTCCGTTTTGTTTGTGGATGTTCAAGGCATGTTTGAGGATACCGAATGGGAAATCCCATTATATAATATCCCCTTGTTTTGGGCAAACCCCATGAAAATCACCATTCAAAATCCTATGAAATCAAATTGAACCCCTTTAAAATCACTTTCTAGCACCTGTTAAGTCAAAACGGATCTTGTTTTTCGGATCATGACCTGACATGACCTGAGCTGAGCGCTGTTGCTGCCCATGATCCAACGACGATCCCCTTGTGAAGCTACCTATGTTTAAAGATGTAAAGTGCATAACTGGCTCAAATTTTCCCATTGATTGTTACGTCACACACAAAAAAAAGGGTTTGAAAATGTCCATTCTATCCAACATGGCGCTGAATTGTTGCCAGGATTTGCTGAAGATGTTTGGTGTATAAATCCACTATTTGAGGGATCTACTGGGAATATGTTACTGAGCAAATCGAAGTTTAATAAGCTGAACCCACCGAGGTTTTCATCGATGTCGGCCTGAGGGTTCACTGCAACCCTCCGCCGGGAAGACCCAGCAGGGCTGTATTGTTTGGCTGGTGTGGACTTGAAAAACAATTTCACATGTGGTCCATATACATATGGTATATATATATATAATTATATGTATTTATATGGTGTATATATATATGGTGTATATATATATATGTTGTGTATATAGATATATATATTGTATATATGACAATATATACATATTTCTTAAAGGCAAATTTAATGTAGGAAATCAAAATTATGGATGTCATGACTTGAAACGCCCACGTCTGGTTTCCACATTCCGGTGGCCCTGAAAACTCCAGAGTCATGATCCACAGGATGTTTACTAGGTAGGAAACCCCAACGGAAGGGCCCACTTGCTGGGACCTTGATCCAGGGACTTGGGAAAGATGTGATTCTAGTTTCTTCGGTCAAAAAGTTTCTCAAGACTCAAGACAACTGTTGACCGTACAATATTTGTGTATGTATTACATGCATATGCATATTCACATAATATGTATGTATGTATGTAATGTAATGTAATGTAATGTAATACAATGTAATGTAATGTAATGTAATGTAATGTATGTATGTATGTATATTTATTATTTACATATGTGTATATATATACACATATTATATATAATTTATGTATATATATATATATATATATGCAAATATATATACATATATATATACATATATATATACATTTATATATATACACATATATACACACATTATATATACACATTATATATACACATTATATATACATATATATTTATATTTACATTTTATACATATATATATATATTTACATTTTAATATATATATATATATTGATATGTACGATATATATATATATATATGCATATATATATATGTGTGAGTCGGCCAAAATGGTTGAAAACCACTTTCGTATTGCACAAGTGTTCTTGTCAGAGATGTGCACCAAACACTGCAAAGCGATATGGCCCTCCGAAGCGATAATGACACCAAACACCCGAAAGCGATATGGTTTCCCCAAAAAGCGAGAACCGATAACAGCAACTACTGAGATGTAAAGGATTTTGATGGGAACTCATATATATATATATACATATATATTTATATGTTTTTTTAAAAAATATATATATATATATACATATTCAAGTCCAACTGCAACCAGGCCCGTTCCATTTGTCAACTAGGTCTATTGAACTGCTGGTTTTTGTTTAATGCAACAACCGTGAAGTGTTTTTAGCTTTTTCACTTGCAAATGTGCTTCGCGCCACAACGGCGTGCACTTTTTCGACATCTCAACTTCCAAAAGTGGTCCAGACCTGGTGTGCTTTGCGCATTCTGACTTCCAAAATTTGCTTCGCGCCACAACGGCTTGCACTTTTTCGACATCTTAACGTCCAAAAGTGGTCCGGACCTGGTGTGTTTTGTGCATTTTGACTTAGAAATTTGCTTCGCGCCACAAAGGCGTGCAATTTTTCATCTCTCATCTGGCCAGATGGCTCCGCACCCGCCGCTTTAGCGAGCCTACTTTTCGACCCTCCGGAGCCCCAAGTCATTGGAAAAACACCGTGTTTCGCGACTTTCCTACCTTTTCGCGCACCTGCACCTTCTTTCTTCTGACTCTTTCTCTTCTCTGATCTTCTCTCTTCTGCTCTTCTCTCTTCTGCTCTTCTCTTCTCTCTGACTCTTCCCATCTCTGCTTTTCATCTGTCCATATTGTCGGAAGTTTGACTCCTAAACTTCCTTCGAATATATATATATATATATATATCCCGATTTAAGTCCCACTTGTCCCACGTTTTTCTTTCGGGGAACTTCCCCAGTTGTCCCGTCTCCAGGAGCGCTTAGAGGTGCTCGAAAAGACGGGCGGTGCCTCCTTCCACGGAGGCTTTAGCGTTTACACACCGCGCCTTGGCCGAAAAAAGTGGGATTTTCACCTGCAAAAATTTTAGTTTGGTGGATTTTGATGGTATTTAATGATATTTAATGGGTATTAATGGTATTAGCAGTGTGTTAAATGATATTTTCATGGATAGTAATTGTGTTTCGGTTCCAAAACTGGAAATTAATTTTCATGGAATTTAGTATTTCATGAGTCCAGGGATGGGTTTATCCTCGGGTAATTTGTTACAGTTTGCGAACTAGAAAATCACTATTTTTAATAGATAAAAAATCAGGATATATCAAATGCGGCTGGGAGATCCCCAAAACTAAATGGGATGTTTTACTGGGAAAATCATCGAACTAAATGGTAGATTTTCCATTGCCATGTTTGATCACAGGAATGTGTGTTTTTATGTATACTGTAATCCCAAAAAAAATAGAAAATAGAAAAGTAAATCATGACTATCGTAAATAGTAGGATTTCACTTTTCTATATTTTGGGGGACGACTATCTATGCATATTATGTATATATATATATACACACATAAATACTCATCCTGAAGTTTTTAGAATATCAAATTTTCAATACTATTCCAGCTCTTCTGATAGTTTTGAAACATAATAAATGGTTCATTTTCTATCTAGTTCAGGATGATTACATCAATGTATTGCCATTTCCATAGGGAAAATGATTACTGGCCATTGAAATCGCGGCGATTTCCCCTAATGAAATTCTCAGACAAACCCACGGATTCTACATATATGTAAATCCATTATACTATCTATATATTTGGATTTTGGTAGACCTCTCCTATAGAAAACTCCGTATAGGTAGCCCCCCAACCTCCCCATTTCAATCATGAAATAAGCAACCGTGGAAAAGAACAAAATTAAATCAAACAACTAGCAGCAACAGGCCAAAAATTCGAAGTCCCAATGCCAAATGCCAAAACCAAATCAAAACGAAACCAAAACTTGATAGCACGTCGAGAGCAAAAGTCCCAACAACAAAACCAACAAAGCAAACTCAATCGGAAGTCCTCTCTCTCTCTATATATATATATGCAATACGGCATGTATGTTTTGTTTTGTATGATATTTCTAGTGGTTATTCACACGTCAATGGTTTTTAGGAAAGTAGGGATTTTCATGTTGGCACTTTGGACCCTCTCCAAACAATCCGTGATGTCAAGAGATGCCAGTCCATGGTGTACAACAAAACCATTCAGCTTGGTCATAGTTAGAGGATTTCAGTAAAAACTGACCTGGTTTCATAATGTTTCATAGGTATAGATTGGAATACTATTTTTCCTTATTTTGCAACATCCATTAGAACTGCATGATCTCAATTTGAATATATTTGAATGGTTGCTAGTTGCTAGCAATTGTAATTCATCCTTATTTGAGGACGAATCGGAGAGTAAACAAAAAGGATCAGCCCCTAAGCCATACTGCCCATACTGTAGATGTTGATTTGTTCAATGAACCGTGCGTTTTTTTTAATCTTTTGGGGATACATAAAGGATACATGGATAGCTCGCCATTTCTATCCTCATGTTGTTGGCATTGCCCAGGTGCGTGCCAGTGCCAAAGAGCTTGGAGGTTGGAGAACTCTGAACACACCGGGAAGATCGGTGAATGGTACAGAAACATTGCCCAAAAGAGTTTGAAAATTTGGGTTCATTTCATGACATATAGCCCTATTATAGGAGAGTTAAAAGTTATAATTCCATTTAAACCTGTTAGTTGGGCCAGAACTGTAGTGTTTTTGGATGGTCCTTGGCCTCACTTTTTGTGATGCAGACCTTTGCAATGGAACCCAACGGCAATGGTCGCGATCATCTACTTGAGGCCTGGCTGGATCTGTGGTTTTGACGGCAGGCATCACAATATTCACAATTTTGGTTTCATTTGCAGGCTATTTGCGGTTCTTTTTGGGGTTTCGGAATTTCGAGGTTAGTGATTGTATCCAGGCTTAGGGTTTATTTAAGGTTTAGGGATTGTTCAGGGGCAACGTGGCTTGTTTGGGTTTCAGACTCTTAGGAGCTTGGGCTATAGAGATCTCAAAGACGATGCTCGAGCAAAGTTTGATGGTTTGTCTACAAAGATAGTGAATGTGGCGTTCACAGGGGCTTTGAATTGTACGCATTTGTGTTTACAGTCAGATACATCCATTTCTAGATCCATATGTGTCTGTGAAATCTTGTATAGCTTTGGTGATCGTGAACCACTGGTGACTTTCTGGCTGCAGGGAACACTAGGATGTACCGCTTCGCACAGGGGCTACGTGCTTGCGAAAACGGAAATTGTCCTTTTGTTGTTCTTTGGGTTTGTGGTTGGGTTCCCCCGGTTTACAGTGGTAGCGGAGCCCGGTTTCGACCGGGCTGGACAATTTCCGTTTTGGTAAGTCGTAGCCCCTGCTCGGAGCATGGCCACGGGCAATCCGCCTGCCGTGCCACCATCAGATGGCGACAATGAGCCACTCGAGGAGAGTGGAGGGGAAAGGCAGCAGCCTGGGAGGCCTGCTGCTTCAGCGGGAATGACTGAGGAGGACATGGTGGCCTTTAGACGCTTCCAGAGGTTTCTACGGATGGAGCAGGGGCCAAATCCAAGTTCTCGCAGAGGTCGTCGCGGACGAGATGAAGATGATGATGATGATGGGTATGGTGACAAAGGACAGGCGGGGCCACCGCCGAGCTGGGACGGGTCGTCTTCCTTTGAGGACTTTTTGATCCGTGCTCGCTTGTGGTTGGCAACTACCAAGGCAAAAGGAAAGGCCAGAGGACCCCTTTTGCTGAAGGCGCTCAGTGGTACGCCTTTCGAGACCTTCAAGCACCTAGCAAAGGATGCGGCCTGGCTGGCTGATGCCAACAACGCCAACACGTTGCTCGAGACCATGGACAAACCGGAATACTATGGTGATGATCAACAAGAACACATGATCACGGCTCTCAGCCGTATCACATACCATGTGAAGAGGCAGAAGAATGAACCATGGCGAGACTTTTTCGCACGTTGGGAAGGAGCGATGCGAAAAGTGAACCAGCATCGCATCAACCTCCCCTTGGACTACGAGGGCTTTTTGATGATCAACGGCCTTCAGCTCTCAGAGACTGACACGAAGGCCTTATTGAACTTCACTCGGATGTATAAAGCCTTCGTCAATCAAGGACTGGCTGCGGAAGAACGAGACACGTTTAGCTGCCAGTGAACTTGGTGCTGAGAAGGCCAAGGTCAACAAGGTCTACTTTGCCGAGGACGTCTTGGAGAAGGACCCCTACGACGAGACCGGCGACGAGGTGGACCAGGAGATCGAGATCTTGGAGAACTATCTCACTGACTTGCAGGACGGCGAGGAGATTGCGGAGCACGACGTGTTGGAGGAAGAGGACGCGGCAGAAATCCTAGCAATGATGCTCAAGCAAAAGAAGACCTACAAGGAGTCTTTGCGTGAGAAAAAGGAAAAGGAGCTCTCCAGAGGTTATGGAATGCCTGGGAAGGGAGGCAAAGGTTTTGGAAAGGGCCTTGGAAAGGGGCGAAGTTTCATTCAGCCCGGACAGTACAAGGTTTCCATAGAAGAAATCAAGAGGCGCACCAAATGCAACAATTGCGGAACCCTGGGGCATTGGAAGAGAGAGTGCCTGTTGCCGCCCAAGAGTTCCAATGCCAAGGTGAACGACACGCACCTTCTGGAATCCTTTGAGGAGATGGAGGAAGCGGTTTTCCTTGGGATGCTTGAACATCACCGAGCCGAAGGTGACCTGAGCGAGCCTGAGGTAGAGATGTCTCAGTTTTCTGATTGTAGCGTAGGAGATTTTGACAGATTGCCACTCCGTGAGGCATACAAGACTGAGTTGGGACCAGAATCCAAGGGAAGTGTTTTTGAGTTGTTTATGTTTGAAAATCAATTTGTGTAGGTTGGTTCAAAAACAAACTATCGATGATACCACCTGTGCAACCGTTGACACCGGATGTCAAAGACTTGCAATTGGAAGTAGCACACTGAAGAAGTACGCAATGAGATTGCCAACAACCCTTCAGGTGACTCTTCACTCAGAGACCAATCGTTTCAAGAGTGTTCACAATGTTTCTACGACATCTAAGGTGGCCACAGTTCCTAGCAGTTTGGGACCGAAAGGAACTTTTCTTCGACCAGCAGTTTTTGAAGATCCCGCTAGTCATCAAGCACCCTTTTTGATCTCGCTTACCTTCCCGATGCATTGCAATAGTACATTGGGGTTAGATGAAGAATCAGGACTCTATCTCATGTTTCGAGATAGCCAGACACGTATCCCTCTACATCTTGGACCTTCAAATGCCCTAAGAGTACCTCTTCAACTTTTTGAGCCCAATAAGATTGAGAAACTCAGGCAGGTTCAAGGTCTGTTGCATCAAGGTCGTGAGTTTGAAGTTCTGGCCTTAACACAGAACTTTTGCTCAAGGACAGTGGGGTCTACAGCACCGAACGTGATCTCCGAGAAGCGCCATGGAGTCGATGCCCAAGCGTGCTCGGTCCACCACTTTGGACCCGGAGAGACTGGATGTGTGGAACCGCATGGTGAAAAAGCTGATGGCACTGGTGATCCCTATCAACCTCCTGACCCTACGTTTGCCGACCGGCAACCACAAGAAGATGATGGCCACCCTGGTGGAGAAGATGGAGATGGAGGACTTGATCCATGCCCGGGAGTTGATCGCGGTGCAGATTCGGAAGCTTCAGCTTTGTCAAGATCTACGGGACTCCGAGGACTTCATCGTCATGACGGACCTGGACGACGTCGAGGTGATCGAGCCTACATCAATGACTTCAAGGACACCAACGACTCCGGCGACGGCGACTTCCAGGACTTTGACGACAAGACGTGCCATGCCAGCAGCCAGCAGTTCGTTGGCTCCCAGCGAAGCCATGACACAGGGATCAACGGGCACCAATGGAGCCGGGAAGGTGGGAGATGTGAAGGGCCTGGAGATTGTCTTCGGCTACATTCCTCCATGCCATTGCGGGCATCAAGCCCGACTTCACTTGAGTCGCACGGAGAAGAACTTCGAGAAGTTCTTCCTGCGATGCCCACGAGACCCGGGAGTGCAGTGCAATTACTTTCAATGGACCACGGCACAACCGTTCCAGGATGTGACAGCTTGGAAGTACAAGGATCAGGGAGAGGGAGCAGTTCCTGCGGCAGAAGCCCTACAGGACATTGTTCAGAACACTGCCAGCACAAGAACACGACCAAGCAGGGATCCAACGGGGACGTCGAGCGGGTGACATGCAAGATGTGCGGCAAGCTCCTGTCGGTCAAGTCCCGCAAGGAGATCAAGGAAAAGAAGACCAGTTCTTCGAGCGGAACCACTGCGGATTTCGAGGAGTACCAGAAGTTCCTCGAATGGAAGAAACACCAGAAGAAGTGACGGACGACAAGAAGTCCCTGTCTGACAAACAGGTCAGAAAAATTCGAGCGGCCTTGAAACAGGCCGTCGGTTTTTGGCGGCAGATACAGGCCATGTTAACTGGACATGGTACTGAAGATACAGAAGTTTCGAAGATTATGTGGCAGACGAATGCCGAAATCTGCCGTGAACTTTACTTCCGGCCAGAAGGTACAAAAAGGAGCCGACAGATTGCGGAAGTCATGGGACTGAATCATCAACAGTTGAAAACAGTTGCTGAAGTTTTTAATCCTGGTTGTTTTTCTAAACAAGTGTTGAAACATCAGTTGATTCCTGGTAGGGTTTTTGACATTGAACTTGGCAGTGATTTGAGACAGAAAGGCAGCAGGAGGTATTCAGGTATTTGAAAAGCGTGAGACCCGGACTTGTGACCATTGCACCACCTTGCAAGTTGTTTTCCCAACTTCAAAACTTGTCGATATCGCAGTAAAGAACTCATGCAAAAGTATCTTGAAGACAAGCAAGAAGCCATGGAGTTGTTGGAGTTTGCGATTTCCGTTTGCCTTTTGTGTCAGGAACTTGGCATCAAATTTGTGATCGAACATCCATTTACTGCCACTTCATGGCAAACCCCCGCCATGCAGAAGCTTTTGAGGAACCCACTTTTCTATTTTTCTCGTGCTGATCAATGCGAGTATGGACTACGAGGACCACGTGGAGGGTTGCATCGAAAGGCAACTGGCTTCGTCACCAACTGCAAGGAGATCTCCATGGTCTTACGGCGAAGATGCTCTGGAGAACATGAACATGAGGTCATCATCGGGGGAAAGGTCTCCGAACTGGCACAGAGATATCCCAAGAGACTCATTGACCAAATCTTGGGAGCCTACCAGAAGAGCATTTGCGAGACTGTGGAATTGATGTCACTCCACAATGTTGTGGCGGAAAACCAACGAATAGATCAGCTGCTGAGAGACTGCCTCCAAGGAGTTCAAGGAGAGAAGCCGACTCCGGGAGAAGAACATCATTCACCAGAAGTTCCAGGAGATGACGGAGGACAACAACGAGATGCTGACCAACTTCCGCATTGTGGAGTTTATCAAGATGATACAGAATTTGGAGATGACAAAGAACGAGATGCTGACCAACTTCCGCATTGTGGAGTTTATCAAGATGATACAGAATTTGGAACTTCATCATTCTAAAGTACTTCGACGTTGCCAAGAACCACCCGGTGGTACTGTCCTTCAACGTGATACAGTATGTCAACGCGATCCAGAATGTCAAGAAGCTGCGGTTCTTCGAGGTGACAAGGAATGTCCAGGAGAGCTGAGAGAAACTGGAAGGATAGAGAAAGATATTTTGGCAGTGGAGATGGCGGAGGAACCAACTGAAGGAGTTGGCAAAGACTTGCCTCTTAGCGGAAGATTTTCGATTGGGAGACTACTTCAACGAGCACATGAAGGGCTAGGACACCCGAACAACGACCGATTTGTTCGGATTTTACGGTATGCCAACGCCAAGCCTAACGTGATTGAGGAGGCCAAGAAACTTCAATGTAGTGTATGCCAACGGCATCAACAAGTTCGACCAGCACGACGAGCAGCTCCACCAAAGGAGCTAGACTTCAATGACTGCGTTGGAGTGGACGTGGTCTACTTGCCCCTTCCAAACGGAAAGACGAGACCCAGTTTGAATATCATTGACTGGAGCTCAAAGTTCCAACTGATGATACCGACGGATACCAAACGACCTGGGCAGCTTCGAGAGGCGTACAGACACTGGCTACGCCTTTTTGGACCACCAAAGAGAATGGCGATTGACATGGGCAAGGAGTTCAAAGGAGTCTTTGCTCAAGCAGCAGAGTCGGATGGAACATATGTGGATCCGGCGGCAGTGGAGGCGCCACATCAAAGAGGCATCACCGAGAGGCATGGAAAGACCTTTAAGTTCATGCTGATGAAGGCCATGGACACGTACAATTGTACCAATGTGCAAGAGTGGGAAGAGTTGGTGGACGTGACCACCATGACGAAGAATCGGATGCTGCAGCACAACGGGTTCTCACCTTCACAACGAGTCTTTGGATTCAATCCGAAGATACCTGGAGGACTACTTTCCGATGATGGAGGTAACCGAGTTCATCCAGACAAAGTTCGACAAGGTGATCTGACCGTGGAGAGATCTATGAGGATGAGGAAGGCAGCAGCTGAGGCCTTCCTAGAAGCTGACGCCGACGAGGCTTTGAGAAGAGCAGTGTCAACTGGTCCGAGACCTATGCAGGACTATGACATTGGAGAGATGATCTACTTTTACAGAATGGGAGCTGACAAGGCGAAGAAGTTTGCCCCCGGATACTGGTGCGGACCAGCTCGCATCATGATGATTGATCAACCATCAACCATCTGGGCAAGTTACCAAGGGACCTTGGTGAAAGCAGCTCCAGAGAGAGTTCGACGAGCTAGCCTGGAAGAAAACCTCAGTCTTAGTGGTTGGCTGGCTGACTTGGTGAAGAACAAGCATGATCCATGCACGGATCCCAAGAAAGGCTACATCGACCTTATAGAACATCCTCTTCCACCGGAAGTTGAACGATCAGGAGATGCAGATGACGAAGAATATGAGCCGAGTGTGATGGATGACGAGGAGTTTGCAGAGGCCCTGAAGAACCAACCCCTGAAGAGAAAAGGTCCTTCATTGGGACCGAAACCTCTTAGACGATACTATGGCAAACAAGAGCAGGACCTGGAGGATTTTCTTGCGGCAGCAGACACGGGCAAACTACGTGATGAACGTCAAGAACCACCTGAACTTCATCAACCAGCTGAACTACCTGTACCTGATCAAGTTCCTGGAGACGAAGAGCGAGAGGAGATTGAGGAGACAGGGACAAAACGGGAGCATGGAGACGGAGATCCACCTGGAGATGAAGAAGAACGACCAACCAAGAGAAGCCGAGCAGAATACCTAGAGTTGTACCACCTGAAGGTGGACAACTTGATGAAGCAGCGACAGAGGAAAGAGATTAGGCTGCAGGAATTGGATCGGAAGAACCATGAAAGTTTCCTGAAGGCAATCAACAAGGAGATCCAGACCAACATAGAAGCTGGAGCCTACCAGATCTTGGGAGACAAAGAATCTGCCTGGATCCGACAACAATGCCCTGAGAAGATCATGGAAAGTCGTTTTGTTCTGACCGCGAAGCCTCTTGAACCTCAAGAAGTACAACCAGCAAAAGAGACAGGACTTTTACTTGACTGGGAGTCAGAAGAACCATGTAAGGCCAAAGCTCGACATGTGATGAAAGGTTTTTCGGAGGATGGATCCTCTACCATCGAAGCGACAACACCACAAGTGACCCGAGAGGGAGTACTGATGGTTGCTCAAATGGTAGCAAGCCATAGATGGAGACTGGGTTTTCTGGATTTTACTCAAGCCTTTATGTCTGGAGACCCAATTCAAAGGACCATCTACGCAGCCCAGCCGAGAGAAGGAATTCCAGGTTTGTCGCCTGGTCAACTACTGAAACTTGAAAAGGTGTGCTATGGACTGGTAGATGGACCCTATGCTTGGTTTCAACACCTGAATAGAATGCTTACCAAGGATCTCGACTACCAACAGTCCCTGGCCGACCCATGCATCTATTTTCAACATCGAGAAGTTCAAGGACCAGATGGACTTTGGCGCAAGGAACTTGGAGGAGTGATCGCTGTGGCTACTGATGATTTACTACATGGAGGTGACGAAGAACATCTGCGGTGCATGGAGATCATCCAAAAGAAATACAAGCTGGGCAAATACCAATTTGACCCAGGGAAGTTCACCGGAAAGCAGTTCACTACGATGCCAGATGGAAGCATCTTGGTCAACCAGGCCCAGTACACCAAGGAGAAGCTGATCGACATACAGATCGACAAACATCGGAAGAGACAGAGATACAGCTTCTGTTCCGAGAAAGAGATCAGCGAGTTGAGAGCTAGCGTGGGAGCATTGTCATGGCTCTCCAAAGAATCCAGACCGGACTTGGCAGGAAGAGTTGCTCTTCTACAACAAAACTTTCCCAGACCCAGAGTCAAAGATTTGATCGAAGCCAACTCGATCACCCAAGAAGCGAAGAAGAACCCAGAAAGTGGAATTAAGATCATGCCGATCTTACCACAGAAACTACGAGTTGGAGTAGCAACTGATGCTTCATGGGCCAATGCGAAGGACAGAGATCGACTTGAAGATCATCGAGATGATTTTTGGGAAGAGACGGAAGGCTTCTGGATTAGACACCACAAGACACCGAGAAGAACCCTGTTTCATCCTGGAGCTGTTGAAGGTCCTGACCTACATGATTTGCTACCAGTTCGCAAAACTGTCCGAGATCAAGGCAAGGTCTCCGAGGACTTTTGGAACAAAAGTGATAGTTTTCAGTCAGAAAATGCAGAATGGACTGGAAAGACATACTTTGTGAAACAACCTTTTGGAGAAAAGCTACCGCCCACGGAAATCAATGAGATGTTCCTAAAGTTGATGAACTGCAGTTCTCAAGGTGGGTATATCATGATGTACTACGACAAGGATTTGGAAACACTACCAACTCCACAAATGGTATCAGTGACATCATGGAAATCCACTAGGCTGAAACGCAAAACAGTGAATACCTTGTCAGCAGAATGTCAAGCACTTATCACTGGCATTGGACATATTCATTGGCATCGCTTTCTGCTGCTTGAACTGAATGGAGAGAACATGTCTGATCGAGAATGGGAACATCGACTTTCGTCCATACCCTATGTCTCAGTGGTTGACTCCAGATCGCTCTATGATTGCCTCAATAAACTGGTCTGTACCTATGCTCAGGTGGAAGACAAAAGAACGGCGATCGATGTGGCGATTCTCAAGGACGACCTCTACAAGACTGGAGGGCATCTCAGATGGGTGGACGGTTCCAACATGGTGGCCGATAGTTTAACTAAGAAGATGTCTAGCGAGTTTTTGAGGTTGATTTGTAACCAAGGATTCTGGTCATTAACCAAGTCAGGACACCAGAAGTTAGCAAGTCAACATGATTTGCTCATGGTCACGATACACCAGCCATAATGTTGTGGCGGTGTGAAATCTTGTATAGCTTTGGTGATCGTGAACCACTGGTGACTTTCTGGCTGCAGGGAACACTAGGATGTACCGCTTCGCACAGGGGCTACGTGCTTGCGAAAACGGAAATTGTCCTTTTGTTGTTCTTTGGGTTTGTGGTTGGGTTCCCCCGGTTTACAGTGTCATATTGCACCTTTGAATCCGTAGCCCCTTCGGGAAGGGATGATGTGTTGCGACTCTTGCGCCGAATTCCGTCAAAACTTGGGTAAGTTACCCATATTTGGGATGGCCATCAATCATGAATAGGGATTTATAATGATTTATACACCTGTTGTGCTTGGATTCGCATTATGGGATGCATAACCAGAGCACATGCATCCTATATTTTGACCATGGCACATATAATATGATCCATACGTAGCACCCCCAAAAAGGAATCAATGAGATAGAAACTTGTATCGAGGATGGTAATAGTTACCTGGTTTCCAATTTGCCTATCCTTTTTCGACCTGGAACCTCCGTTTGTACCCAACAACACGGTCTTTTACCCCATCATCTTATAATTCACCTGTTTTGCTGGGTATTTGGCTCTAGGTATGCAAATTTTGCTGGGTATGTCATCTATTTTTCTTACTACTTTCACCTTTTTGGATTTGTATGGTATTTTTAGGGCTTGCCATGCGCTGGATGGTGCTGCGGGCAGGCCAGCCTACCTGACTACGACACTTTGCAAGCGCCTGATGGCCCCAGGGAGCCAGGTCTAAACCTAGACCTAGCGACTGGGGGAATAAACATCCAGCTATACCAGCTCTGACTTAGGGTACCATCCGGGTACGATCCGGGTACCAGGCTTTTGACCCATAAGCAACTGTTTTGAATGGTGAACTACCATGAATGATAGGGTTTTAGTGGGGTGTAAAATGGTTTACGTATCAAAAATATGGTGAATATAGCTGAAAATTAATGTCTGATTGTTTATGGAATGGGAGTTATACTACCTGGTTATCGGGGATTATTGTGAACAAATCTTAACAACCTATCAATCAAAAAATGTATAATATCATGACATGGGAAAACAGTGGCTTCAATGGCTCAAAAATCGCTTCGCAGATTACCTGGACATGCCTTGACATCAGTTGAAATCTGGTGCTTTCAACTGGTCCATCCTACAAAGGACGGATTAAAGCCACCTGAGTTTTCGATCCAAGTAACGTCCTCTGGCGAGGAAAAACCGGAAGATCACATGGAATCTTTGACGCCGCCCTTGACAGATCCAAACCGGATAGTCACAATCATCAGTGACCAGCGTTTGTGAATTGGCGCATCCTTCAATCTGAAATGGAGGTTTCCTAAAATATGGGTACCCCCAAACCCTTCAAGGCATTAGACTATTTTAGTGTTGAAACAACCATGGTGACTTTGGGATCCCTCATGACTTCAGAAACCCCAAATGTTCAGGGCTTGCAAGAGCCCTGCCACGTTGCCACGTTACCTCAGTGCATAATTTTGCGTGCCCAAAGTCACAAAACTGTTCAAACGCATCAATCTGTACGTACCCGGTTGTGACGTAGAAAATCACAATAGACATATAGATCACAATAGACATATAGATCATTTTTAATAGGTAGATCATCATTTTTAGTTATACATGGGCCATAGCTTCCACAGCTAGGTCAAATAACCAGAGGGTACCTGAAATTTCGGTACATCGTTTGGGTACTAGGTCGACTAGGTTCGGTCCACAAACACCTGGAATAGAAAGGCCTGTACAAGATGAAAACAACTTACCATTCAAATCATTCATCCGTTTTCTTGGGACTCGACTGAGCGTCGAGATCCCAATTCTTTGCCGAAATACGGATTGCTCCCTGTTATCCCCTATGCAATAATCATATCATGTCTCTGATTTTGTTTTATTGATTAATTCGATGTTATTAACCTGTGTGCGAAATTGATATATCTTCGTCAAAAAGATGCAATCGAAGTCGCTAAGGCGGTGAAATCGAATCTG